ACAAGTCGTTGAAGGATTCAGGTGGACCTGTTGCAACAATGAGAAGTACAAAATGTCATGTCAAAAACGAGCTTTACAATGTCGGTGTGGGGGGGGGAGGGGTTGGGTGGGGGGGAGGGGGGAGGCTGGGAAGGGAGGTGAAGGGTAAACAAAGGAGGAGGCTGCAATGCTTGCTAAGAAATGTATGCATTATCCTGCCCATGTAATTGTAACCCCTCTGTACAGTATGTTCTCAAATAAAATTAAATTAAATTAAAATAAATAAATAAATACAGCCTGTAAAGTTCTGAGGTTGATTATCTTTTTTAATTTTTATTTATTTATTTATTTTGGGGCTTGAACTCAGGGCCTGGGTGATATCCCTGAGCTCTTTTGCTCATGCTACTACTTTGAGCAATAGTTACACTTGCAGTTTTCTGGTGGTTAATTTGAAATGAGTTTCACGGACTTTCCTACATAGACTGGCTTTGTACCATAATCCTCAGATCTCAATCTCCTATGTAGCTAGGACTATAAACATAAACCAACAGTGCCTAACTTAGGATGATTATCTTTATCAGGAATAATTTATAGGTAATGACATTTTAAGTTGCAAAAACAGAAAAAAGAAATACTTTCTCACATGGAGAATTAAAAGTACAGACCAGGAATATTAAACAAATATGTTAGTCTATATCTTTCTGTAGAAATGAATCACATGATAAATAATTTATTACATTAGGCCGTTTGCTCCACTCTGATGGAAAAGCATAAATGCCGGCATTAAAGCACATCTTCAATTCATGTTTATATTCTTAGGAATTAGCCATTTGGGGCATTTATTTATTTTTATTTCCCATCATCTTTGAAATTTTAAGATAAGTTTCCAAGAGTCCGTGCTATGAACAATAGGCTTTTACTTCAAATGATTTTCCAAATCAAAATATTTTATAACCTCTTTTCTGATATTTTACAACATGGGATCTAAATTCTCTTCTTGATTTTGTGTGATTTTTGTAACATTTTCTTGTTATTTTTCTATAATGACCCCTCATCTTTAGATAGTTAAGTCCCCTTACAGAGACAACCACAACAAATATTTCAACAAGAAGCCAATGTAGGAAAGAACTGCATAAGTTTAGGAAACAAAATTGAGTCATCACAGTAACTTGAGCTGCCTATTTGACAATGGTGCCTGGAATCCCAAGAATGTGAAGTGAAGGCCAGTAGGTGCTCTATGTGCCATCACTTAGCCTGGAGCTGACCTAGTCTCTGCACTTTGATACTGAGAGTTGAATCAGAGTTGTAGACTCTCACAACACAGAAGTAATTTATCCACATAATCCCTAGTAGTGGCTCTTTATGCCCTCTTTGAACCTCTCCATAATAGTGAACCTCACTAATGCTTCAGCTAAAGATAAACACATCTCATTGAATCTCAGATAGTTTTTCAGACTTTAGTAACAGTAGCTCTTTTGTCTTAAAAATAAATATCAATCTGACAAGTGCAACACTAGTGTTCTTCATCTATTTTGTGTATAGAAAAGAAGAGTCATTTGAGAAACATGTAGGCTTTTCCTTTCTGTTTACCTGTGTACTATATGTTACCTCTTTCTCAAAAAGATCTTAAATGAAATCATGTAAATCAGTTGGATACAATAGAACTATTGAAATAAAAATTTTAAATTCTGATAGATTTTGCTTTGAAGGTTAATATAGTTGCTAACACTTAAATGTAGCAGTGGAATTACTACAAATCAATATCAAAAAATATATAATGAATTACACATCATTCTCCTTATCTAACAGGAGAAAGAACATTAATTCATTTACGGAAGATTTCTCTTAGTTCTAAATTACAAGAGGAATTGCTCATGTATTATTTTACAAAAGATTGTATTATAAGTTTGTTCAGTGTATTCATTTGTACCCTCTAATACCTGGCCAAGAATAGAGCAGACCTTCACTTTTGTTATACATCATTCCAATACTAACCAGCCTTTTTCTTGATTCTGTTGGATGTAGAAGACAGAACATGAAGCCTAAAGTCCTACTGTTTCCAAAGTCGCTGGGGAAAAAAATCTACCATCATCATCTTTTTCTTGTCCAGTACTATGGCAATAGTTGCTGCACAAATCTAATATTAGTAGACAAGAATAAATGAGAACTAGTGACTGGTTAGAAACTATACCTGTGAAAGGGAGCAAGCATAGAGAAAGTCACACAGAGTACTGTCAGGAGCTTCTTGAATAGTTGAAAAGACTATTTTTTTTTTCAGGAAAAGCAGTATGAAACAAGCACAAGGTGCTAGCTCTTAAAGCAAGCGCTAATATGAAACAATGCAAGAAATTGAGAGTTTCTCTGCTTATTTGTTTGTTGTTCATTTGAAATCAGGGTCTCTTGTATGTTAAGTACTCCATCACTAAGCAACATAAACATGTCATTTGTTCTTTACACCAATCATTTTCCCAGTATGGATAGTTTAGAGTGTTGCTGCCTGAAATATTACAAATGAGCTCACTGAGTCTTCCAGTAGACATGCCCTTATGATTTTACAAGACTCTCTTCAGTTCTTGGATGAAGGGTGGAGAATGGAAGCTATGTTCAGTATTTTATCTTTGAAGGTCTTCATGATGCCTGGGGCATCTTAAAATGCACCAGGTGAAAATAAACTGCATTCTAATACTATCACAGTTGTTTAGACTTGAACCTCTCGGTTTTATCTTGAAATTCTTAATTCATTCGTGTACAGCTTAATCAAGGGGATTTTCTGAGAAATATCCATTGGGCTATTTTAACAATGTGCAATGATCAGACTGTAGGTACATCATCCTGAAAGGTATAATTTACTATACATGTGGGCTAAGTGGTGTATGTATGATATCAGATAGATAGATACATAGATACATAGATAGATACATAGATACATAGATAGATACATAGATACCCATACAGGCTATAAATTTATACAGCATGTTACTATATTGAATGCTAATGGTCACTGTAACACAATGGTGAGTACCTTGCATGTAACCATATCTCAGCATATTTGTTCATACCAGCATCTCAAACAACTGAGTAATGCATTGGAAAAGGATGCTGAAACAGCTACATCATGACAAGGTATAGGAATCTTTCAGCTACATTACATATACTCCTATGGTCCACTGTCATATGTGCAACCCATGACTAAAATGTCATGTAGCATTTGACAACTGAAGCCAGAGAGAGTACACAATATTTTCTGCATAAAATGAGTCAAGCCTAACTGCTATCTTCTCTAAGACTATGGGAATCATGCCTGTAATCTGCATTCCTCTGTCTAAATGTGGCAGTTCATTTACTATGATTATTATTACTGTGGAATCTCAGTTATATTCTAAGCCATCCCTTGAGGACAATAAGTTATGTTTAAACTGCACAAATTAGTTATTGTAAAATGAATGCCATTACAGTAACCACCACATTTGAAGGAGGCTGTTTGTACATTGGACAACAGGTAGTCATGGTGTTACCAAGGAGAGAAGGATAGATGTTTCAGACCCATTCTGAAGAAGGGAACTTTGTACTAGGTATACTTTAGAATGAATAACTGAAACAAGTGGCTGTATATTGCGCAGAATTAGCATAAGCCAGATACCTATGTGTTTAAAGCTGAGCTATTACAAGGACATAACAGTAAAGGCTCTCACATATACCGACGACTGGCAAGTGCAAATGAGCATGCTGATCATTATTTCACATCAGAGTTTATTATGACATGCAACTGCCAAAAATCAAAGCCAAAGCTAAGAAAAAAAAACAGCAGCTATCAACAGCATCATCTTTACATATGTAGCTGATCTGCCCCACAACCATCTTTCTGATTATCAAAAAGCCTGAGAATAGAGGGTAAAATGAATAAGAGGACTGCAAATTGTTGGCTAATTTTGAAACAATATACCACGTTGGAGGAAGGGAAGCACCAGCTGAGAGATAAATAGATATTCCCTAGAACATTTAAATTGTCCTAGAGTGCACCCGATACATTGGAGAATGATGGTCTCTAAGAAGCCACTCTGCTTCTGGAAGCTGAGTGGCACAAATACCTACCTTGGAAGAAGTTGGCATAGCAACTCTGCATTTTCATTGATGAGTCACATAGCAAACAGTTGCATGAAACAACTACTGAATATGCTTGCTTCTCCACAAAGAGGTTAAATCTCATAAGGCATTTGAGACTTCAGAAATAAAAATTCTCATTCTAATAACTTACAGCAGTTTATTGGCTGAACAGAAGATATTCATGATTCACAGAAAGATTTATACAGCTGTAAGTAAGCTGTCATTTAGACAGAAATAAGTCTATTCTCCCTGAAAATAGAAGCAATTCTCTGCTGACTAGAAAATAGCAAGGTGATATACAGAGGGGTTACAGTTACATAAGGCAATAAGTATATTTCTTGTCAAACTTGTTACCTCTTTCCTCATTTTTCTCCTACTTTCCCTCCCCCACTCTCCTACTCCTGAGCTGTACAGATCATTTGCAACATGTTGTCTTGTGTGTATCACTATTGCATTGGTTCCCCCCTTGTCCTTTGTCCCACCATTCTGTTGTTCCCCTTCCCTTTCCTAATTCAAATAAACATATATAAAATACCAGGGTATCAAATTCAAACAGTGTCAACAGAGGATATACCACAGGGGAAGAACATACAAACGAAACAAAAAAATCACACAATACATTAACCACCACAACAACAAAAAGAAAAACCTTTTGTGTCCATGTCTAGGAGTTCATTTCACTTAGCATCATCTTATATGGTCATATGTACTTAGCTATTGAGATATTCTGATCATCTGCTAAGATTATCCTAGACATATACTAATTATTGCAAATAAGAGAAACCATGGGACCTATGTTTCTTTGGGACTGGCTTACGTCACTTAATATGATTTTTCCCAAGAAAGAATGGCACTGCATCATTTCTAAGGTATTGTGTTGCTTTTTAAAAATGTATTCACTGTAAAAGATTTTTTACCTGTTGGCAGTAGGCCCCTGGAAATCTGGATCATATGTCCTTGGTTCACCTGCAGTTAAAACAAAGATCTTTTTAAACATATAAGCCAGTAGAACAGCAAATAAATACACATAAACTATAAAGAAAGCTCACCATTGCTTGGTGCAATGTCAAATTCTTTCTTTGGTCTAGAGAAACATTGTATGTGCCTGGGTTACAGCTGTTAATATCTTTCATTTTCTTTACCTAGAAGCAAGACTAGAAGAACTCAGTGGAGAACTATAACAGAGAACTGAGTTTTTCTCCTCCTACTGTACAAAGAAGCATCATTGGGAAATACATCTAGGGGAGGAAAACAAGAATCCCTTCTGATCTGCTACATCTGCCATTACCCAGGATTGCTTACTTATCACAACTTTTCCTTTCCTCCCAATCAAATAACAGTTCTGATTGGTCCTTATCATTTTGGTGGTAAGTTATATAAAACTACTATTATCTTATATAAATGTGACATTTATTGGCATTTTAAAAGATCTACCAGCATACTTTGTACCATTTGGGAAGACACCCTAGTCACTTATTGTTGCATTATAATTGTGATATATTACCTTCCTTTTTAATAATGACAGATGCATAAGAACAGGTTTATTTTTCTCCCTGATATGTCTGTATTATGGAATAAGTAGCAGTAACCAGATCTATAAAATCATTCTTGGTCAAAGGTCTACCTTTGTAATTCACTACTCCTCAGTCTGCCCCTGCAAGCACTTTTACCTCTTCTTTCAGGAATTTGTCCTTGTAAGAAACTCTGGTCCTGAACTAAAGACAGGAAATGGATTGGAAAAATACCTGAATGTATAAGCAACTGGACCCTGCCTGTACAAAGGGGAATGAAGCCAGGAAACTCAAGGGCCTCTTTACTGAAATCATGTTAAAGACAGGCAGCAATAAAGGAAGATAGATTTGCAATGGAAATCTAAACACTGGTCAGTCAGTGAATATTCATAAAACACTGATATTCTGAGAGCACTAAAGAGATGCATAAGGCATGGTCCCTATTTCAGGGACTTTAAATAAAAAAAGCAAGCGAAGATAATGATTCATTCACAAAATATTTCTTGAGAATATATGCCAGGCGATGCATAGCAATGTTTGAACAAATAATATTCCACATGTAACTATTAATAAAATATTAAATTATGCATTGGTATGGTTTGCATGCTTGTCTTCTTCCAAAATTTATGTTGACAATCCATGGTGTAGTAGTTGTAAGAGGTAGAGTCTATTGAGGAGTGACTGAGCCAGATGTGTTTCACTCCCATGAATTAAGAGTAATGCCTTCTGAAATAACCTTTCGGAGTGTTCTCTAGTCATTGGAAAGTCATATGTTCTGCCATGCTAGAAGGCAGGATTCCTCATTTTGGTATCTTCAGTCAAGTGAGGAAGACACATTATGGAAGCACAGATTAACCCCCTCCCAAATGCAAAGGCTGCCAGTGCCTTGATCTTAAACTCATAAGCCTCTAGAGCTGTGAAAAGCAAATTCTATTATCTGTAAGATACCCAATCTTATACTAGCAGGGATAAACCAAGATGTGGTAAAAAAATCTTAAGTGTATTTATTATAAGAGTTCTGAACATGTAAGTTTCATCAAGGACTAGAATAGTCCAGAGAGCTCCATTCCAGAAGTGACATTTTTGTGGAAGACTGGAACAAAAGAGAAAGGACCGATATTCTTGTTAAGTGAGACTAGAATTCTGTTACAGTTCATAAATACTTATTTATTACCTTTTATGTGCATTGAATAACTTCTGCCTTTAACATCAATTATATTACAAAGAAGAACATGAAAACAGTAAAGGGTACAAAACATATGCTATAAGAGTCCTAGGGAAATTCAGGTCCCATTCAATGGAAAACAGTAAGGAAGGACTCAGAGCTTCAGTATTTGTAGATGGATAGGTAAAGTTTACATATAAAGAGTTGGATTGAATAAAATACACAGATGTGGGAATAAATAGCATGTTGTAGCAGTGGTGAAAAGATCAGACTAATTGGAATGATGGATAATGGGGAAGGAGGAAGACAAAATAAGACTGAATATATAGTGAAGTACCACGTTACATAAAGATAAAGAAAAAAGCGGGATGGAAGTCATTTTGTATAGGATAGGCCACAGGGATCCACAGGAGGATTTTGAACCAAGTAGAAGAACAGTAGAAGCAAGATTTAGAAAGAGCAATCTAAGCTGAGTACTGGTGGCTCATGCTTTTAATTCTAGCTACTGAGGATGCTAAAACCTGGAAGATGGTTGTTCAAAAATCATTCTAGGCAGAAAAGTCCTTGAGACTCCATATCCAACTAACTATCAAAATGACAGCCTGGAAGTATGGCTCAAGGGTAGTAGAGTGCTAGCCATGAGTAAAAAAAAAAAAAAAAAAAGCCAAGTGAGAGAGAAAGGACCTGAGTTCAAGCCCTAGCATCAGTACAAGAAGAAGTTGAAAAAGAAGGAGAAAAGGAGGAAAATGAAGAGGAAGAAGAAAAAGAGGAGGAGGAGGAGGAGCAAAAGGAGAAGTTGAAAAGAAGGAAATGGACAAGAGGAAGAGGAATATACATATTGTTCTACAATGAACAAAGCCAAAGAGACTAATAAAAACCTACTGCAAAAACAAGTGTAGAGTAATGTGAATCACTCTCTAAATGATGGCAATAGTAAGATTTAAGATTCAACAAGAGAATTAGAGTGCCTACTCAATATTGCTTAATTGCAGGTGACACTAGACAGGTCTTTTGACTATTGACATTTTTATTTCCATACTTGTATGTGTGAATAATAGAATCTATCCTATAAAGTTGTCATGGCAATTAAATTAATGAACAGTAAAAGTGTTTGGTGTCTGGTACTTAGTAAGCTTCCACCGATCTCTAGTATTAGTCTTAATACTACATCAAAAAGGTTAGTGGAATTTGATAGATAATAAAACTTGTGGGGATAAGTGAGACAAGTCAAAGATAGCTCCATTCAAGTGACTCCAGATCTTCTGGAGGTGTCATAATAGAGTGATGTTATTATGACAATAACAATACTATTTTACGTGGTTTCGGCATCAAATGCTATATAAGAAACGATTTGTGTGTATTATTTGTTTGGTCAGAATAATTTTATAATACAAATAGTTGGAAATTATTTGTTTCACTTTTGAGATGAGAGAGCACATAGAGGCCAACAAATATGTCCACAGTTAGACAGTTGATCAATGATCTACCTAGGAGCTCCATACTGCTGGCCTGTTGTAAAAAAAAAAAAAGAAAAAGAAAAAAAACTGATCCCATGGTTGTACTATGCAATGTCAACTACAGAGGAAAATATGTAAAATACTTGTTTAAAAAAAAAAAAGAAATGCTTGTGTACTTCAGTGCCAATTTCTCTGACATATTTTCAGCCCCTCTTATTCAGACCACGTCTCTAACTGCCTCACTGTAACAGATAGTTTTAGGAGTGGCTGTCTTCTTTTATATGGGCCTAATTCATGTGTCTCCATTCCAAAAAGGTGATTCTTGAGCAGCTGAGCTTCTCTCCTATGTCTGTTCTGGCTTAGATCACTGGATCTGGTTTGGACACTGGACCCAAACTGAGCCAAATTTTCTATCCCAAGAAGAACCCTGAAGAGATGAAGATGAAGGAAGATTCAAAAATTTTAGAAATTTCAGAGAGAAATTACCAACAGAAATGTACTAATAGAAGCAGAAATGGAAATGTTGGTGACCTGTATAGTCTTCATCTGGTCCTGCCATTACAAACATTATACTGAATTTCTTTTGCTTTGTTTTTTTTTTTTTTTTTTTTCTGGCATACTCACCCAGATTTCAGTGCTAGAAATTGAGTGCATGGCCTCATGCATGCTAAGGAAGTGCTCTACCACTAAGCTGTATATATCACAAGCACTCCTTTTGTTTTTAACTAGTTCAAATTGGTAACATACAACTAAATATTCTACTACTAATTCACTCTTTGCTTTTTTTTCTTTTTTTATTACATTTACATAGCTATACAAAGGACTTGCTGCTTAACAAAGCAGTTTATTAATACGTGTCTTGATCACTGTCACCCCTTTCAACATTTTCATCCTTCCTTCCCCTACACACCCCTTCCCTCACTCTTAAGTTCATAGATTATACACTAACTTCTTGACTGCATTCTTCCCCTCTTCTCCTCTTCCTTGTATACTCTTTTCCCCTTGCTGCCAACCAACCTCTTTCAAGTATCTGCTTCTTTGTGTGTGTGTGTGTGTGTGTGTGTGTGTGTGTCTGTGTCTGTGTGTGTCTGGGTGTCTGTCTGTATGTCTGTGTGTCTGTGTGTGGGTGTGGGTGTCTGTGTCTGTGTCTCTGTGTCTGTATAGGCATGCATGAGCACGTGCCAGTTATAGGGCTTGAACTAATGGCATAGGTATGATTCCTAAGCTTTTGTGTTCAACGCTAGTGTTCTACTACTTGAGCCACAGCTCCACTTCTGGCTTTTTGCTAGTTCATTAAAGATAAGAGTCTCACAGACTGTTCTTCAGATCTTAACCTTCCAAGAAGCTAAGATTGCAGGCATGAGCCACCAGCACCCAGACACACTCTTTTTACTTGCCTGACATTTCAACAATTTATTTGAACAACATTTATTTTTTATTTTTATTTTTTTTAGTTTGTCTTTTTTTTCTTTTTTTTTTAATTGTAAAAATACTATACAGAGGGGTTACAATTACATGAGCAAGATAATGAGTACATTTCTTATCAAGCATTGCCGCCTCTTCCTTTGTTTCCTCTTCCCATCCCTTCCTATCTCCTCCCCTCCCCACGTGCCAAAGTTGTAAAGTTCGTTTTTCCACAAAACGTCTTGTACATCTCATTGTTGCAATGGGTCCACCTGTATCCCTATTTAAACAATTTGTTTTTTTTTTCCTCCCCCTCCACAAATTATACCAACATCAAATACAGTGAAAACAGGGGTTATATCGTGGGGGAGGGACATACAAAGCAACTAAGAAATCATCTTATAAATATGTTAGAAACAATCGCATGAA